AGTGTTTGAGTAGGCCAACCACTCTACTTACTTGCGAAGAGGTATAATCACTAGCCGCTCTCGGCGACTGAAGAAATCCTTGCACACAAAATTAAGGGTGCAGTATTGATATCTGACTGCCTTTTGTGGGCCGAGTGTACTGCACTGCAGTTCACTCTGCTCTAGTTTACGGCTGCACATCGAGAAAAAAGGAGGAATTCTACAGACACCTGCAATCAACACTGGACAAGACTCCAGTTGGAGACATCAAAATTCTAATAGGTGACATGAATGCCACACAGTAAGCGGACAATACAGGAAGAGAAGTGATCATGGGTAGAGAAGCACTTGGTGAAATGATGAGTGAGAATCGAGAATTATTTGAAGACTTCCGTGTATTTAATGACTTGATGACTGGAGTCATTTTGTACGAACACAAGGATATCCACAAAGCGACATGGGCTTCACTAGATACCAGGACACACTAAAAATCAGATCGACTTCATCTCAATGTGAAGAAAGTGGAGACGCAGCCTACTTGACACAAGGTCAAAAAGAGGAGCAGATGTAGGTTCAGACCACTCACACCACTATCTAGTGCAAGGAACCTACCTTCAAAATCAAGTTGAAATCAAGTTGGTGATAGACCACAGTTCAAGTTGAACACCTAGAACAGAAACTGAAGGACGAAACTACAAGGGAAATCCTCACGCCAGCCATCAAGACAAAATGAGAGATGTTGAGCAACATCCCTGGAGAAACCTGTGTGGATGAGCACTGGAACTCTTTGAAAGCTATGTGGAAAGGAACCTGCATAACCGTATTTGGAAGGAAGAAGAAAGAAGACAGGACAAGGAATGGATTTCGACGGACACATGGAAGCTGATAGAGGAGGGAGAGGAAGCTGGTGAAGCAGAAGATGAACCGGTGCAGTGCAGGAATGAACAACGAGAAGAGGAACTGAGTACAACGTATAAAACACTACACTGGACAAAGAAGTGAAGGAGAATGCGTGCAAAGACAAAAGACACTTCTACGACACTGCGCTGGATTCGAAACTACGACCGGAACAGACTGGTTGGCTTCAGCAAAAACAAATCATGTGCGGATCAAATTGCAACGCTACGCTACACATCATCATAGAACATAGCATACAATGGCAATCAACTGGATCTTTACCTCAACTTCATCCACTTTGAAAAGGCCTTCGACAGCGTCGAACAAGAAGTAATTTGGCAGGCAGCTGCTTCAACACTACGGAGTGCCACAAATCCTTATCAACCTCATTCAACAGCTATATGCTACATGATACTACATGCCAAGTGATTCACAATGGAAAGCTCAGTGACACCTTTGAAGTGAAGACAGGAGTAAGACAAGGTTGCCGCCTGCTATCACCAATCATCTTCCTGATTGTAGTCGACTGGACTGGATCACGCAACAAACTGTGAGGAGCGAGAAGAGGGACATACGCTGGCTGGACCAATGAAAGACCCTAGAAGATTTGGATTTCGCCAATGATGATTTATGTTTAATATCTTGTCACACAAACTCGAAGATCTACAGGCAAGAACTAACAAGTTGACAGGAGAAGCAGCGAAGGAAGACGGGACTTCAAGTGGACGTAGAGAAGACAGAGGTGAGGATGATACCCAACCAATGCCATCACCAACAACAACCAGCTCCAATCACCATCAACAGGAGAAACTCAAAGGAAGTAGTCTCTTCCACCTACATATCTAGGCAGCATCGTTTCAACTACAGGCGGCGGCACAGACGAGGATGTCAAAACCAGGATCGGAAGACCAAGACAAACTTTCACTAGTCTGAAATCAGTGTGGAGATCTTCTGCACTCAGCATAAAGTGTGAACAAGATCGAGATTTCCAACACCAACGTCAGTCAAGTCAGCACTTCTATACGGTTCAGAAACTTGGCGCGTCACGAAAAGCATTTCCAAAAAAACTACAGACACTCATCAACAGCTGCCACCTACGCTCGCTAGATACTGAAGCTCAGATGGTCAGAATACTAGGAATAAGCAACAAGGAACTCTGACTAGTTGGCAACGAACCAACCAAGAACCCATCGTCCAACAAATATGCAGAAGGAGGGGAGATGGATTGGGCATACACTAAGAAGACTATTCGGCGACATAACACACCAGGCCAGGTCCTCGAGTGGAACCAAAGTGGAAACGACAAGTTGGGCATCCGAGGGTGACACGGAGGAGATAGTGTGAAGAAGAAATGAAAGCTTCTGCGCAGTCGTGGAGCGAGGTTCAAAAGACTGTGGAGAACAGAGTTAAATGGAGATGTGCAGCTGAAGCCCAATGTTGCACTAGGAACCCAAGGGACAAATAATAATAGTTTGCTATTATTATAATTTGTGGCTACAAAACATGGCCATTAAAGATAAACGACTTGAGGGGCTTTAGGTGTTCGGTCAGCACTACCTTCGTACTACAGCCCATTTATTACGATGTTACAAGGTCGGTGATGTAGAAGTCAGACGTAGAATTTCAGCTGATCAGGTAGTGAATCTTCATCGACTTAGATGGCCGGGAGATGTGTTACTCATACCTAGTCAACGTCTTCTCCGTCGAGTAATTTCTGCTCAATAGGTTTAAGGCTGGGAAAGGTATCGGTGCAGGAAATCTTTGACTGTTGGCTGGAGCTCTGTAAGGGAATGTAGACTTCCGGGTTAGAATCTACATGACAAACGATATCAGTAGTTGGAAACTCTAGGTAGGTGATATGGTCTGGAATCGATATCAGCAGTGAAGATGGGTCCACACACTGTCCCCATCTAACTATCTTTGTTTTATCCTTTCTTTTTAAGACTTTTTACTATGTTTTGACTGCATTTCCTCCTATTTCTTTGTCTTTCATCTTGGTGCATTTTAACTTGATGTACTGTTACGCAGTAATACAAGGCTTCATGTTGACGCTGACTGATTTCCAATTTCTGAGCAGAAAATTGTAACGTGTAGGAGACCCTTGAACTAAACAGTGATAAAGATTCCCCACAATCAGTGGATTGAACATCAAGCCAATATTCTGAATAACTCCGTACTACAACAACGATCACAGTATCTCAAAAGCCTCATCAATTGACTCAGTAATCGAAGCTTCACTCAACCAATGTTTGTCATCATGCATAACTATAGTGTTGTAAATTATCCTTTAGTGAGTCATATTTACAGCTAAGACATGAAATTTTTTGGATGAGTGCATTGAATCATTTTTCAGAAAGGACTGTAAGTAATGCCTTTTTACGTCTAGTAAAAAAATTTAATGAGACGACATCTTGTCTTAAGAAGTCGAATGAGAACATCTTTTCATAATCAAGATAACACTCGATAGTAACACGTGAATGAAATGGAGATGTATGCACAGGGAAATTTTTTCGCATGACTGTATATATGACCATACACCGCCAGTTATTACTGTAAACTGATGTACAGTAATTCATGAAACTTTGCTGATTAATCCAGTATGCATTTAGCCTTGTGGGGTGCACAGAAGAATTTCAAACTGATTGTATTCATACACTGAATTGTCACATGGTATGCAATACTGAAGTATTAGGTTACAAACATTCAAATCAATGGCTAGTAACATTCATTTCCTCCTTTTGTTTAATGAAACTATACTACTTACAACGTCTTAGTAGTAAGATGTGTTAATAGGAATGAAACAAAGGTACCATTCCTGGTCATTTCATACCCTTATTTATGCTGTTGTGTTTGCATAATATTTGACCGATAAGTTTCAACAAATACTAAAAGCTTATGATATTCATTTCATTTCATTCTCCTTGCTGAGGTTAACCTACTCAACATATAAAGAAATATCTTTTTTGAAGTGCAGAAAATTGAGATTGTACAGTTGTAAAAATGAACTTCTAGTAAGGATGTTTTCACTCAATTTCTTTATTTTTCATACAATAAATGTCATAGTGATGAATGATGAAGCGCTGAAATATGGTTATTAAATTTAAGTTAGTTAACCGACTATCAGTGTCCTGACCCGACCATAGGAGCATACCATTGATGAATCTCAAAAGAGGTCAAAAACTATGCCTAGTACTTCCTGGTTCTGGACAGTTTTTCATCTGGTAGCTAACCGTGATGAAAGTGACACTGACGTCAATCAACCTTCTACAGACCAACCAATCGAAGAAGCAATGCGAGATAGCGAGAAAGACACTGAATATTCGGATACATCATTCAAATAAATAAATCTCTGTATCATTATTTGAATCATTTGGTTAATTTTATTGCCTTCAACGGCTCGTTTTATGACGAGATCTATCAGTGTTAGTTTAGACATTGCTCGCTATGCTATTTTATAAAAAACTGAATTCGGTCCATCTTTCATAAAGATTTGTCGGAGCAATTCTTGTTTTAATAATGAATAACAAACCACTAGTGGATTTAATTTCTTTTTGAAAAGTTAGTTGGCCTACTTTGATTGCCGACCGATTTATGCATATAAAAATAATTAGGAGATATAGGTACTAAGTAATGCATAAAATAACTCACAAATAGGTGCCGGGAAAAACGATCCGGTTCACGTTGAATGAGGTGTTGCATTATCTGATGCCGTCCAGAATGTACTGGTCCAACAAATATAAACGGACGTCGACGAAGTGGTT